CCGGACCAACAGGGTCGCTGCAAGCCGGATGGCCCCGCCCCCTCCCCGCCCCCGGCGGGCGCTTCCGGAAAGAGGCCCCGCCCCTCCGGAATCCCCCTTCCCGGGCTCTGCGTAGGCTTGGAGTCTGTGGTTCCCGGGCCTTGACTCACTCCTTCGTTGATTCATTCACTCATTCATTCATTCACCGTTTCCCCCTTCCTCCTTCACTCATTAGTTCCACGCATGTACTGTTTCCTTCTGTCACTTCTATTTCTTAATTCATTTGTTTTATTTTTATTTTTTATTTTTTCGAGACCAAGTCTTGATCTGTTGCCCAGGCTGGAGTGCAGTGATGCGATCTCGGCTCACTGCAACCTCCGCCTCCTGGGTTCAAGCGGTTCTCCTGCCTCAGCCTCCCGGGTAACTGGGACTACAAGTAGAGACGGGGGTCTTGCCACGTTGCCCAGGCTGGTCCCGAACTCCTGGGTTCAAGCAATCTGCCTGCTTCGGACTCCCAAAGTGCTGGGATTACAGGCTGCGAGCCACTAGGCCCGGACCATTCATTTGTTTTAAAAGAAATATCTATTAACTGTCTGTACAAGCTGGCATCTTTGAGGGAGGGCATGTAGGTGATGGGTTGCGGAAGCACTGCTTCCTATCCCTTGCCCATTTATCTCAATTTCTCTTGCTTTCTCATCTTTCCCTATCAGTGCCCAGGAGTATTGGTAGGGAAAGGGGACTCCCATTATCTTTAAAGGAGCAGTTCTTCTGGGTCCTCAAAGACAGTCTCCTGTGTCAACGTCCTACATCACATGGAATTGGGCATGAAAAATTTTTTTGGAAAGAGCGTCTTCTCATGGAGACTGTTGTCTAAAAAGCAAAGTGGTTATGGGGTTTCTTCTTCCTCAAAGGGTGAAATCCTGGCCTTGGGTAGTTACAGTTTCTGGTCAACCCCAGCAGTCAAGGAAGTGGGGTCAGACTGGGGAGGCCCCAGATATGCTGGTTGCACTCTGCTCAGGTCCCTAACACAGCCCCAATCTTAGTACGAAAACCGCTGTCCCTGGGCTTAGGAAGGCCGTGGGAGAACCCCACTACAAGTGAGTCCTAAGCCCATGCCCCATGATTTATTCCCTTGTTCCTCCCCACTACTCCAAGTGCTATCAGCCTAGCGCCAGCAATGCCCTTACAGGGTTATCCCCAAGGAAACATGTAGCTTTTCCATCTCCAGCATTGGGGAAAGGAAGGTGGATGAGTGTAGATAGCAACGTTTTGCAGGGGAGAGGCCAGTTTTCCGACTGCCCTTCCCCTGCAACCTCATTTTATTCATCCATCATGCACCCACTTGTTAAACATGTATGGAAGGTCTCCTGTAATGTCTGACTTTGTTCTTTCTATTGGAAGCAAAACTGACTATCACAGTAATAACCCATAACCACCCCCCTATGACCAACAAAAAAAATCCCATGGTCCTAAAAAAGCTCCTTGGCAATTACAGCTCAGAGTGGTTGGGATAAGACAGAACTGAGAACAGGGTGTTGTGGGGGCACACAGTGGGGCCAGCTACTCAGTGGGGTGATAGGTAAGGAAGGTTCCCTTTGAACTGAGAATGGGAAGGGAAGAGAGATACGGAGAGGAGGACCTAGTCTCTGGGGGGTGATTGGAGACAGAAGAGTTGGGGGAGGGCTGAGGGGAGAATATGGCCCACTGTTCTTCAACCCCATGTAGGACCAGAGTGGGAAGGATGTGATGAGCATGAAACCCAGTGAGGAGCCGCGAGGGGAAAGGCCCGGGAAATTGAAGCATCTCCTTCCCTTGGGTCAGCATGATTTCAGATGTTCTCAATCTCCTCCCCTGACATGTTCCTCTCCAGTCCTCAAAGGCTGCAGTAAAAGTATAGTAATAAACTCCAGACCCAGACCAACTGGGTTCAAAATTTGGCTGAGCACAGTGGCTCATGCCTGTATTCACACCTATAAACTTTGGAAGGCTGAGGTAGGTGGATCATTTGAGGTCAGGAGTTCGAGACTGGCCTGGCCAACATGGCGAAACCTTGTCTCTAGCAAAAATACAAAAATTAGCTGGGCCTGGTGGCACATGCCTGCAATTAATCCCAGCTACTTGGGAGGCTGAGGTAGGAGAATCACTTCAACCTGGGAGGTGGAGGTTGCAGTGAGCTGAGATCGTGCCACTGCTCTCCAGCCTGGACAACAGAGTGAGACTCAGTCGAAAAACAAAAACAAAACCAAAAAAACCCATACAAAATCTGACACTATCATCCACATTTTAATGTTGGGAAACTGAGGCCCAGAGAGGTGAGTTGACTTGCTCAAGGTAAAATAGAAAGTGCAGAGATGGCTTCTGATGTAATCCAAAACTTTTATATATTTTTTAGTGAAACCTTCTTTTCTTTATCAAGATGTAAACCACATAGGGTGGGAGTGTTTGAGCCCTCTGCAAGGATGTAAGAACTCAGGAGTGTGCAAGGACCTCCTTTTTAGTCATACGGAGTCTGAATTTAAGGAAAAACCCACTCAACTCAGCCAGGTGTTTGGCCCTGAGCCATAACAGGTGTGTGGCAGTCCCTTTTATGGCCACATGAGGTCAGCATTGAGTCACCCACTGGCCCCAGTACCAGAGCTTGCACTCTTGACAGGAATCCTTTCCAACACTCCAGAAATGGGGAGAGGGACCATTGCAGTGTTATCTGAAAGGGTGACTTGGGGACTTTGACTTAGGCCACAGCACAGTTAGGGGCCTGACCTCGCCTCCTCAGCTCCAGTCTTCTCTGAGGCTGGGCCTCTGGTCTTTCTCTCTGTTGTTTTCTGGTTCCCTTTGTGCCCCCACTCCCCACCTCCACCCACCCCAGCTAGGCTCATCTTCAGGAAACAGGCCTGGTTTCCATGGTGACCAGCCGGTCAGCTGGCTCCTTCCACCGCCCCCTCCTTCACCCCCCTTTCCTGTAGCTTCCAGGGAAGGGTACTGTGTGTGAATGGAGAAGGCAGGGGTAGCCTTTTGTCTCTTTGGAGCTCTAGGGCTGGCCGAAAGAGCTAAACTGTCCCTCCTCCAAAGCCCTTTGAAGTGGAGACAGAAAGGCAGTGGGGGTGAGTGTCAAGAGGAAGATTATAGTGCCTAAATGGGGAGCACGAGAGGATCCTCTGTAGGTTTGGAAAGGCCAAGGTTAGGGGCTCTGCTCTCTGTGGGCAGTGAGGACTGAATTGCGTGGAAGGGGCTGAAACTGGAACAAGAAGGGCTGGAGTTAGCTGTGAGGCCAGCTTCCCAAAAAGCATGGGCGGGAGATGCTGGAATGAGTCACCAAGTGAGATTCTGCCTCTGCCAAGGGAGTGAACAAGACCCCCGCCTCTTCTGGACAGCCGCCTTCCTCTGGGCAGGGAGAATGGGCCCATCAACCTGGAGAGGGCCATGCAGGCTGGATAGCTCTAAGCAATAGGTGGACAGAGAGCCACCTTCACCTGCCTGGAAAGGGAAGAGTACTAAAACGAAGACAGGGCCAGGAGTGTACTAGAGGGGTGGGAACAGTGACTGTTCCCAATAAGGGGAAGGAACATCCTGGGCAGATCAGTGTGCTTGTACCCTATCCCCCAAAATCAGACATCAAGGCTTTGCCTCAAACTAACTTCCTACCCACAAATATTCCCCATAGACTTTTGAGTGGGAAAGATCTGAATTCTAGGACTAGCTCTGTGAGTGCTAGCAGGTGACCTTGAGTAAGCCATTCACTCTCCCTCTGCCTTGGTTCCCTATGAGTAATTGGCGAGAACCGTTACTGTATGTCAAAGACTCTAATGACACATAGTAGGATTCCACAGTAACTGTGTATGCACAAGATTGATCATGCATGGCTTTTATTACATCCTTCATAATGGTTGGTTTTCGTGTTCTTTTCTCCCCATTAGACTTTGTGCTCCTTGAGGGAAGGAAACTGTGTTTCACTTCTGTACTGGTTACACAATAGGTACCCAACACCTGTTTACTGAATGGAGACATCCAGGAATGAATGAATGAATAAATGTCAGGGTCCTTCCTGCTGTGCCAGGGAATGCAGGCAAGAGCAGTGTGGGATGGCCTGAAAGGATAGCCTGCTTGCAATGGCTCAGCCTGGCCTGCTTCCTACACCCACAAGTCGGAGCCTTAGAAATTGTCCAGTCAAATTCCTCACTGCACAGATGAAGAAATTAAGGCTCAGAGAGAGGAAGGCACTTGCCCAAGGTCACATAACTCCTTAATGACAGAGACAGGATTGAGAATTAGAACTCAGGTTTCCTGCCCTCCAGCGTAGGGCATTGCACACACTTCACTGCTTCTCTGGAGCTGCTCTTTTAGGGAAGGAAGATGGTTCAGTGAAGGCCGGTTCCAATGTCCTCCCTCTGCCCTCTGTTAGTCCTTTCCCACCTCTAGCTTCAGTCTCTTCCCTTTCACCCTATTCCATTCCTCTGGAAGTCTAGCTTCTGCTTTAACCCTTCACCATGCAACTGGGAGTAAGGATCTTCCCTAGGGTTTCAAGGATCAAGTTCCTCTCCCCACTCCTGTGCCCCAGGAACTTGGGGGAACCAGAGATGTGTGCGTGTGTGGCGGGGTGCTGTTAGTTGAACCTCGGGGACCCAGTCCACGGAGAACAGATGGAGAGGAGTTGCGGCATAGATTCTCCCAAGATGGGAGTGCGGGAGGGAGGTGCAGTGAGCAGGGCTGGGAGCGGGGAAGGGGTGTGGGGAGTCCCTGTTGCTTTACCCCTTCGGGGGGTGGTTATTAGGTAGGCTTGGGAAGGCGGAGTTTGGGGGGCTGGGGGCGGGGCTCGGCTGCGCTGGGAGGAAGGGGGGGCGCGCTGGCTCCAGCTCGGCTCAGACAAAAGGCGGCGGCGGGAGCGGGCGGGAGGCGGAGCGGCGCCGCGAGGGCCTCAAGGTGACACCCGCCCCCGGCCCCGGCCCCCCCGGCCCGGCCCCCCTAGCCTGCCTCCCACCCCCAACCCCCAGCCCCTTACTCTCGGTGCCCTTTCCGGGCCCCCTCCCCCCGGCGGGGGGTGGGGAGCAGCGAGGGCCCCGCCCCCTCCCGTCCTCTCCCCAGGGCCCGCGCAGGATGCCCCCGGCCCCTGGCAGCCCCCCGGGAGGTCCTGAGCTCGACGCGCCCCCTCTACGCCATGTCCCCCCCTGGCTCGGCTGCGGGAGAGAGCGCCGCCGGCGGCGGCGGCGGCGGTGGCGGCCCCGGAGTCCCGGAGGAGCTCACGGCGGCGGCGGCAGCGGCAGCGGCGGCGGCGGACGAGGGCCCCGCCCGAGAGGAGGTGAGAGTCGAGGGCGCCCCTTCCCCGAGCGCGGCCGCAGCCTGGCCCCCCATCCCCCATCGCACGCGGCCCCCGCCGGTTCCGCCGCAGCGCGGCCGGCGCCCCGCACCCCGAGCCGGCAGCTGCAGCCGCAGTCCGCGCCGCCGCCCCCACCCGGCGGCGGTCCGCGGTGCCGGGGAAGGGGCCGCGCCGGGGGCGGGGCTCAGGGGTCCCGGGCAGGGGGAGGGGCCTAGGGGCGGAGCCTCGCGGACCCTGGGCTTATGAGAGAGGGGGCTAGGCTCTACCGGGGTGGGGACGGTGGCAGGGATCCTGTCTCACAGAGGGGGATGCTACCTTGAAGGCCAGGAAGGGAGACTTGTAGGGGCTACAGAACGAGGAGGGTACCATGGGGAAGTGGTGGTGTTACCTGATCTAGGACCCTAAGGAGGTCAGATGTGTACAGGGGGATCCCCCCTGTGGTCATTGGGAGTGTGTGTGTGGGAGGGGGGGTGTGCACCTCTCACGAGGCTCCTGCTGCTTCCTCATATCCCTAGTTGGGGTCACTAGTCCTCAGTCCTCTGAACCTGAAGACAAAGAGACGGAGGAAAGTACCAAGAGCACCCCCACTCCAGCCTCCCATGCACACTTGTGCACACGCATGTACCCTGCACTAGGGCAGAGGCACACAAGAGGGGATAGGCCTGCAGGTAAAGCCCCTTTCAGAGGTACCCACATGGGGACAAGCGCACAACCAGGTAGGCACACGAAGGGGCCCATGCGTTCATACCTCCTAAGGACAAGGCTCCTCAAAAGGCACATGTACCCTAACCTCCTTGTCCACATGTACTGTGTGCTATTTCCTAGCTCGCCTAACTATCCATACTTCTAGATCCAGGGCTCGATGCCTATTATTGTACCTTCTTTTCCACTCTTTTCCTCTCTTCCCTGGCTGGCCTCTAGGTCAGGCTTGAGGAATTGAGGGGGTAAGTCAGGATCCCAGCAGGCAGGTGTGTGTGTGTGTGTGTGTGTGTGTGTGTGTGTGGTGGGGGGATGGGTTCCTAAAGCTAGAAAGCAGAGAGGAGGGGTGGGAAAACAGGCCACTACAATAAATCAAACTCAACACTCAATTAGGATGTGGCTGCTGGGGGCCAGCACCATGGTAGGCACCTAGGATGCAAAGAGAATGAAGTGTGGGTCCTCAGGAGTACCCAATCTAGTGGGGAGCCCAACATGTAAACAAATCCTGGGCCAACCCTGGGACAGAATGTGCCAAGTGCTTTAAAAGACAGGCTCCAGGAGAGTACCAAAAATCATTTTCTCTTGACAAATTGCTGGGCTTCAAACGTTGTCCTCGCTACCCTGGTCCCACATCCCCTATGCCTGTCCTCTCCTCAGCCACATGCCTCTGCCCTTCTGGATACCTCCTCCTGGACTGCCTGCCGCTCAGGGACCCCAGCCCCCTCCCTCCCATCCTAGGACAAAGGGAAGGATGTCAGGGCACAGGAGGAAGACTCACAGGGGAACCAGGGACCAGAACATGGGGAATGAGACAGGGCCTGGGGTTCTCTGGAGGCCCTTCTCCAAAGGAGGTGTTAGGCTAATTGTGAGGGTTAGGGAGGTGGATGGGTCGGAGGGGAGCAGCTCCTCTAGAACCTAGGACTGAAACAAATCTGGAAGTGAGGGCCCCACTTGTTAAGTGGGGAGGTGATGTCAGTGGGTCCCTCCCCCTTTTCTAGAGGACCTGGAAGGGGTCTGGGCTGGGGACCTGCCTTCGCTGATGCCTGTCTGTCTGTCCTCCCCTGTCTTCCCTGTCCACACCTTCTCCTGTTTCATTGCCCTCTTTATGTCTGTCTCTGGACACTCTCTGGGTACCATCCTATCCATCTGTGTTTGCTGCCTGGGCCTCCATCTCTGGCTCTGATCTTTCTCTGCCTCTTGGGGTGTCTCTCTCTGCACTTGCCTGTACTGGCATTCTGGTCCCCTTTCCTATCCTCATGGCTCGCTCTGTGTCACTTCCATTTCTACCTCTGGCCCCTGACTTCCATCTTGGTCTCACCTTTTCTCTCCATATCCTGTTCTCTTTGCTTGTTATTTCTGGTGCTGGCCTCTGCCCCTCCATCCCTGCATCCATCTCTGTGCTGGGTCCTGCCTGCTCTCACTTCCCACTCATCTCGGCCCCTCTCCCTGCCCACCTGAGCAGCAGCGTCCCATCCAGCCCTCTTTCACCAAGTCCCTCTGCCGTGAGTCCCACTGGAAGTGCCTCCTGCTCTCGCTGCTCATGTACGGCTGCCTGGGGGCAGTGGCCTGGTGCCACGTCACCACAGTGACGCGCCTCACCTTCAGCAGCGCCTACCAGGGCAACAGCCTCATGTACCATGACAGCCCCTGCTCCAACGGCTATGTCTACATCCCCCTGGCCTTCCTGCTCATGTTGTACGCCGTCTACCTGGTGGAGTGTTGGCACTGCCAAGCCCGCCATGAGCTGCAGCACCGTGTTGATGTGAGCAGTGTGCGGGAGCGTGTGGGCCGCATGCAGCAAGCCACACCCTGCATCTGGTGGAAGGCCATCAGCTACCACTATGTCCGCCGCACCCGCCAGGTCACCAGATACCGCAACGGAGACGCCTATACCACCACCCAGGTGAGGAGCTGGTGGGGAGTGTAAGACATTCAACATGGGAGGTGGCACTTGGCCCTGCCTTACTCCCTCCCCACCTCCCTGGGGGGAAGGTGGGAGGAGCACAAGGCAGCAGTGAGCTCCCATGAGCATTGCAACAGCAGGGCAATAGCAACAACCATAGTCATAACAGCAAACAACGACCAGGAGCCAGGCTCTGCTCTAAGTATTTTACACACATCAAATCATTTATTTAACCCTCATAACAACCCTATGAGGTAGGCAGGTATTCCCATTTTGCAGATGAGGACACTGAGGCCTGGAGAGTTTAAGTAACGTGTCTAAGGTCAAATAGGCAGTATGTGGTGGAGATGAGACTCGAACTCAAGGAATCTGGCTCCAGGATCTGTATACTGTTTAGTGCTTAATGGGTCTATTTGGTGATTAATGGCAGAGTGTGGTGGCTCAGGCCTGTAACCTCAGCACTTTGGTGAGGCAGGAGGATCTCTTGAGCCAGGAGTTTGAGACCAGCCTGCCTCGTGGCAACATAGTAACACCCCATCTGTAGAAATAATAAAAAGAAGTAGCTGGTGTGGTGGTATGCACCTGTAGTCCCAGCTACTCAGGAAACTGAGGTGGGAAAATCATTTGAGGCTGGGCAGTTGAGGCTGTAGTGAGCTGTGATCACCACAGTGCAAGACCCCATCTCAAAAAAAAGAAAAAAGAAAAAAAAATTAGTGCTTAATGGTTGGAGATGGCTTCACATGCCCAATATCATAGCATGCTCTACCTGTTCAGTGAGGTGACTGCTACCGAGTTCTCTTTCACAGGTATGGACACGTAAACTCAGTGACTTGTCTAAAGTCTGCTGCTCTTAAGTGGTAGTGCTAGGCTCAATCCCAGCTTCCTGGATCTCAAGTTCAAAGGTCTAAGAAGAGGTGGGTGTAGGAAGTCTCACTGGGGGTGGGCAGGTCAATCAGCACTTTGTGGACTCGCCAGGATGAGACATATTGGAGTCCTGGAGGAGACGTTCCCAGATGTAGGCCATCTGTCTTAGTATAAGGATCAACAGACAGAAGCCTGGGGCCGGTGAGAAGCAGGAAGGAGGCTGAGTGATAGCTATAGCCTGAACAGGAAGACTAGAGACAGAGGGGTTCTTTAGGGAGTGCTTCTGGGGAACCCATTTGGAAACACAATTGTAAAAGGGAAGAAAGAAGAAAAGGCTGTTTGTGGTGATGCGGGAGCACTTTGGAAAACAGAGGCAGTGGCAAATGGATCAGGCAAGCCAGAGGGGCAGTTCGTGGCCAGGGCCTGACTCCTAGAGGACGCAGGGTTTAGTTAGAATTTAAATACGCACAGGTGGGGCTGGTTCTAGTCCGGTCCTCACGTCTGATTATGCAGAGGGCATCAGTTGCTCTGCAACTCGGAAAGATCCTAACCAGCTCCAGCCGGCACCTAAACCAAGACAGACTTAGGGTCCGACCAGGCAACCAGAGCAGCGATGGGGCGGGCGAGGGTGAGTGGGCAGAAGCGGGCACCGCTGACGGGCTCCTGGCGACCCAGCCGCCTGCCCCCCGCGCCGCAGGTCTACCACGAACGCGTCAACACGCACGTGGCGGAGGCCGAGTTCGACTACGCGCGCTGTGGCGTCCGCGACGTGTCCAAGACGCTGGTGGGGTTGGAGGGCGCGCCGGCCACGAGGCTGCGCTTCACCAAGTGCTTCAGTTTCGCCAGCGTGGAGGCCGAGAACGCGTACCTGTGCCAGCGCGCGCGCTTCTTCGCAGAGAACGAGGGCCTGGACGACTACATGGAGGCACGCGAGGGCATGCACCTCAAGAACGTGGACTTCCGAGAGTTCATGGTGGCCTTCCCGGACCCGGCCCGGCCGCCCTGGTACGCCTGCTCCTCGGCCTTCTGGGCCGCGGCGCTGCTCACGCTGTCGTGGCCGCTGCGAGTGCTGGCAGAGTACCGCACGGCTTACGCACACTACCACGTGGAGAAGCTCTTTGGCCTGGAGGGCCCGGGGTCGGCCAGTAGCGCGGGCGGCGGCCTCAGCCCCAGCGACGAGCTGCTGCCCCCGCTCACCCACCGCCTGCCGCGGGTCAACACGGTGGACAGCACGGAGCTCGAGTGGCACATCCGCTCCAACCAGCAGCTGGTGCCCAGCTACTCTGAGGCGGTGCTCATGGACCTGGCGGGGCTCGGGACGCGCTGCGGCGGGGCGAGCGGCGGCTACGCGCCCTCGTGCCGCTACGGCGGGGTAGGCGGCCCGGGCGCGGCGGGCGTGGCTCCCTACCGGCGCAGCTGCGAGCACTGCCAGCGCGCCGTCAGCAGCTCGTCCATCTTCTCGCGCAGCGCCCTGAGCATCTGCGCCAGCCCGCGGGCCGGCCCGGTCCCCGGTGGGGGCGCGGGCTGCGGGGGCAGCCGCTTCTCGCTCGGCCGTCTCTACGGCTCCCGGCGCAGCTGCCTGTGGCGCAGCCGCAGCGGGAGCGTCAACGAGGCCAGCTGCCCCACGGAGCAGACGCGGCTGTCCAGCCAGGCCAGCATGGGGGACGACGAGGACGACGACGAGGAGGAGGCCGGGCCGCCGCCGCCCTACCACGACGCCCTCTACTTTCCGGTCCTCATCGTCCACCGGCAGGAGGGGTGTCTGGGCCACAGCCACCGGCCGCTGCACCGCCACGGCTCCTGCGTAGAGACCTCACTGTGACCTCCGTCCCCGGCGTGGCCCGCGCCGCCCTCCCGCCTGCCCCTCGCCGGACTATGCTCCCTGTGCGACGCAGGGCGAGTCATCACGGTGACTGAGGCCGCGCGGGGGACAGGGAAAGGGAGGTGAGGGCCGCAAGACAGACCCGGATGGGGCCGAGACCCCTGTCGTCCCTGTACATAAAGAGACCGATGGGTGGGAGGGGGTCGGCTGCTCCCCGAGATCCCCCTGGCAGAGTCATTCTTCCAGCCCCACCCCTGAGTTCCTAAAGGGACAGCTCCCTCCTGTCCAGCCCTTCAACAGATCTTCTGATTGTTAGATGACAACCGCACCGTGGGCCCCGCGTTGGGCCTTGTCTGAAGGGAGAGGCCCTGGCGTGCGGCTGGGAGATTTAGAGGCTATGGAGAAGGGAACTTGGGGTTTTCCTTCCTCCGTGGCCTCACTCCCCTGGGGCCTCTCTTTATGGAGGGAGCAGTGGTTTGGTGACCAGCAGGCTGGATTCCAACTAGCTAATGCATTTAGCGGGTCTGAGGCTGGGGCCAGGTGTCAGCCCCAAGCCTCCATCCAACACCGTGGAAATGTTGCTGCCCTCTTCTTGGCGCTGACCCCAAGATTGGGGTTTCCCTTCTGCCGCTCCTTCCGCTGTTGTTTATCTAACTGGGCCCCTACTCCAGGTCCAGAGGGACTGTGCTCACCGCACAGACGGCACTCATCTCCCGCTCTCTGGTCCTGCAGAGCTGTTGCCAGGGTGCAGTGGGGAGGAGAGTGAAATGTGGAGGGCTGTGTACCTCAGTCCTTTCTCTAAACTCTGCAGCCTCCCGGCAGGGGCCTTCTCACCTGGGTTCTGGGTGTGTACTCCCTTTAGAGAGTGTGAGATACACCCGGGCGTCACTTGTTAAAGCTGGCCAGGGCGAGTGACTAAGGGGAGAGAGCATGACATAGACCTGGGTGACAACGGGGACCTCTGGAAGCAGGTGGGAGTAAGAGAGAAGAGGGCAGTGGAGGGTAGAGGAAAGGACTTCCAAAGGTGGGGTGTCTGTGGGGGCGGCCTTTGCCTCCCTAAACCTGTGCAGAGGAGTGGAGCGTGCTTTTCCCTCAAACACATCTCTTGGGGGCTGAGGACGTTGTCACAAGTCCCAACTGGAGAAATAATTCCAATGGCAGGGTCAGAGGCAAGCATTCTCTAAATCTTGCCCAACCCTTCCATCCTCCCCTATCCTATGAGCTGAAGCCCTGCTGTGTGTCCCAGGGTCTTCAAAGGGGCATCCTGCCACCACCCCAGGGTGCTGGCCCCACATCCTGTTCCCCTAAAGCTCTGACACCGCCTTCTCTCCCTGTGCGTACCCCACCACCTCCACCCCAGTGTTCTTCAGTGTGCATGTCTGTGAACAGCCCTCCTGCCCTCCCAACTCCCCTGGCTAAAGTCTCCCCAGCAGATTTAGTGCCCAGGGCTTGAGCTCACATTTCAGGCTAGAGAGGATAACCCTTGGGCCACCCACATCTCTCACCCCTGATCCTGCTTACATTCGCCTGAGCCATCAGAACTCCTCCTTCCCCTCCTTCAGCCCCTGTCATCTTCCTCCAGCCCAGCCAGGCCTGCACCACCAACTGTGTGGCCTCCAGCTATGCAACATCACCTCTGGCTCCCCTTCCCTTCTTCCTAGGGAGAGGGGCCCAAATTGTGGGAATACCATGGCCCATGGCTTCTAAAGGGTTTAGCTTTACTTTCAGGTAGAGATGGCTGAGTGAGGAGGGAGAAGAGACTAGAGAGAGAGAGGCTTGGGCAGGGGAAACAGCTGCCCACCAGGTTTCCCTGGCAGTAGTGCCCACCTGCCTATCAGCACTGAACCTGCCTGGATCCTGAGTCTGTGCTCCTTGGGGGCCTGGCATTTGGAGCACCCTTCTTTCCTCTGATGGACATCTGTGAGGTACAGGTGGTGAGCTGCGGCCTCAGGCTCCATTTCTTAGCCAGCTGGCACCCGGATGTCATGCTCTGTGTGGGGACAGCCTGGCCACCTCAGGGCTCCAGGGGAGGAGGAACATGGCTCCTCCTCCCTCAGGCCTGTTCCTGAGACAGAGCCTGGTCTCAGAAGAGGGGAAGGGAGACCTCTATTATTATTTTTGCCTGTATTGACCATTTCTGCCTAGGTCGTCTCAGACAGCCTCATCTCCCACACACGCACAGACTTAGAGAGAAACCAATTCTTTGGTCTATTTTCTTGGTAGCTTTATTGATTGCCAGGGAAAACAAAAACCAGAAAATTAATCTCTAAAATTAAACTTTACACTGAATGTTCTTGTTTCTCTAATTAGAACCTCTGCTAGCAGCTGTGGCTATACACACACACACACCCTCACACCTACACGTTTGCACTCCGGAACTGTCAGAGGGTGTCAGGCACAGACAGACTCTAGGTTGCCTAGACAGGCATACACATGCAGTCACTCCCAAGCCCCCTTTGGTGCTCTGCTTAGCATCTGCTTAGTGGAAGGAGTCCCTGGAGAGCAGGCACTCCTGGATTGGGGTTGTAGCCCATGACCTGCCCTTTGGGGACACAGTTCTGGAGGCTCTGGGCCAATCAATCAGCCTGAGGAGGATGGGGAATGTTGCTCAGCCTGAATCAGTCAGCTAGGTCTCTTGTGGCCCTAGGGGCTGATGTGATTCCTGTAGGTGTGGCCCCAGGGTGGACAGCTACAGAGTGATGGGGACTCATGGAGGGCACCTAGAAGGCTCCATGTGGCCTGGGGACAAGGGCTTGTGGGGTGGGCTGGGCCTGGCTGGGGAGAAGACAGGTCTCTGTCAATTGGGTGCATCACACTGTGGCCTTTTTGTCGTGGATTTAAGCGCAAAGATTGTACAAATCAAACTGGTGGATAATAAAGTTGTGGATGACTCACTGACTTCCTGTCCCAGTATGGCACTTCTTTCCCTCCCTCCCAGGGAAGCTCTCTGGGATGGGTGGCAGGAATCGTGTCATCCTTCCCTAGAAGTCATCATCTATAGCTGCCTCCCCAGAGGAGGCCACCGGGTCTGAGTCCCTGGTGTCATTTCGTTGTCCCCTTCCCAGGTTGGGGGTTGGGGAAATAGGGGATGGAGTGGCCTATAGAACTGGATCACCTAAAGCAGAGTCAAGCAACAGGGAAATGCATCTACAGGGCTGAGGGTGGCAAAGAGAGCCAGACATAGCTCTGCTGTAGCCAGAGCGTGTGTGTGTGTGTGTGTGTGTGTGCGTGCGCGTGTTTGAAGATCAAGGATCTGTTTGGTAGAGAAGAAAATGGTGGGGAGGGGAGTCAGGGAGGCAGGCAGCCCCCGTGGGAGAATCTGGCAGGCACAGTCCCTCAGACACCTCTCTCACTTCCCTATTCCTGGAAGAAGTTGGTCATTTGTGGGGGTTCAGTAATATCCTTTCCCTGGGCACAGGGGCTGGGTTCCTACTGCATACCCTTTCTTCCCCCATGCCAGTCTCCCTTTCCTGCCTCATGTCTCCATCCATACAACCCTTGATCACTCCAAGGGTATTCACGGTCCCCCTCCCCGCTCCCTCTGAACCAGAGTGATACTCTGCAGCAGGCATGGCAGGGGTATGAAATGAGAGACAGGGCTGGGGCCACGATCCAAGTCAGGTCATTTTATCCCACAGAGTTCTGAGGGCCATTGGCAGTGATGGTTGACATGAAGTGGCTGGGATTCAAGGCCCGCTGGCGGGCTGCTTCTCGGTTTGCATAGAGGGCCTGGCCAATGAGGTACTCGCTTTCCTGGGCCACATCTGACAGGCGCAAGTCAAATTCCAGGAGGGTCTTGTTGTCCGACATGCCTTCCAGGAGCTGCTTCCCACCGTCCTGGGAGAAGGGTGCAAAGGAAGGGGTCATATACATCACTACCCAGGATCTGACATACATACTACACATTTTCATGTAGATGTGACTAAAACATAAAGTTTCACAAAACAATACTTAACCTTTTGTGACGCATGTTGACATATTCTATTCTTCTCCATTTGAAAAATGGTAGCCAATACCCACTAAATTGATTTCTCAACCCTACTAGCTTGAAAAACATGAATCTCTGGCAATGATGAGAATTCCATTCCTTTGGTTCAGCCATGGGCATGTGGGACAACTCTAATGAGATGCGAGGGGGAAGCTGAGAGGGGGTGGCTTCTGGGAAGGTTCTCCTCACTCCAAAAAGAGAAGAAAAGGCAGCAGGTGTTCTCCTGTTTTCTGCCTCTGGGCATGTCCCTATGTGAGATGTCAGAACTGTGGCAGCCATCTTGGGACCAAGAGAAGCACTAGAGAGGCCTTAGCCACGAGGCTGGGGTGGGCAGAGCAGAGGGTGGCACTGAACCCAGGGGTTTACCAACCCTACAACCCTCTAATTCTGGTTGTGGGAGACACTGAATATTTCTCCTGCTTAAGGCCATTTCTGGTTAAGCTTTTTATTACTTGCAGTCAACAGCACCCCCTCTAGAAAATGTGTGTGTGTGTGTCTGTGTGTGTGTGTATGTATGTGAGTGTGTGTGCATGCACACGTGTGTATGTGCCTGTGTAGGTGAGCAAGGTTCTCATGGGGAGGTTTAGCAGAGGGTTCAGTGACCTAACGGAGGGCCCCACTCAATGGTCATCACAGCTCCAACCCCTGCTGGGTTGGGTGGGCTAGCCCCAATGTGAAAGAATTTCATGTTGGGAGGCAGAATGCCACCATTCTGTGGTTGTGACCCAGCAGTGTGTTGCAAAGTCAATTTAATGGACCACAGAAGCATTTAAAAATACAATAGAGTAGAATGTAAAGGAAAATATCAGCATATATCACAAGTCATAAATTTCAAAATTATGTTTCTGTTGGTGTTCATGTAAATTGCATTTTTTTTTTTTTTTTGAGATGGAGTCTTGCACTGTCACCCAAGCTGGAGTGCAGTGGCATGATCTTAGCTCACTGCAATCTCCGCCTTCTGGGTTCAAGCAGTTCTCCTGCCTCAGCCTCCCGAGTAGCTGGGGTTACAGGTGCATGCCACCACACTGGGCTAATTGTTGTATTTTTAGTAGAGATGGGTTTTCACCATGTTGGCCAGGCTGGTCTCAAACTCCTGGCCTCATGTGATCCACCCACCTCAGCCTCCCAAAGGGTTGAGATTATACACGTGAGCCACTGTGCCTGGTCATAAGTTGCATTTCTTACTCTCAGACTTGTTTAAGAAAGTTTGAGAGACACAGTCTATTAGAAAGGACTCAGACTTTCAATCAATCTTGGATTTGAACCACAGCCTTGCCACTTTCTACTGACTTGATGCCCTTGGGCAATTCATAATCCTCTCTGAGACTTAGTGCTCCATCTAGAAAGTAGGGTTAAATATACTTAGTTATATACTTAAATATATTTAGAGTTAAATACGCTTAGGGTTAATATACGGTTACTTAGGTAACTGTAAGGATTAAAGGAAAAATAATCACTGGGATACACAGTATTTGTGCATACTCGATGCAGTATGTAGTATGTAAAGTCTGTGATCTTCACAATTATCCCACAAGTACTCCTGGCAGTCGGATTCCACACCCACCCTCACAAGCCCAGAGTAGGTGGCTCACCAGCCCAATGTGGTTGCAGGACAGGTTGATGCTGGTGAGTGTGGTGTTGATGGCGAGCACCTGCGACAGGAGTGTGGCGGTGGGTTCAGACAGCTCATTGCCACCGAGGTGCAGTGTGGTGAGGCACTTGTTGGTCTGCAAGGCATGGGCAAGAGCCTGGCCACCCTCATCCTCGATGCAGTTGAGACGTAGGTTGAGGGAAATGAGGTTGGTGTTGTGTGCCAGAGCATGAGCCAGCGACTGGGCACCAGGCGCACGCACCTGGTTGTTGGCCAGGTTGAGCACACGCAGGCGGCTGTGGCTCAGCAGCTTGGCAGCACCTCGTGCACCACGGTCCCCAATGAGGTTGTGTGACAAGTCCAGCTCCTCAAGGACTGGGTGGTCCAGAAGACTTCGAATTATGATGCGTGCTTTGTCATCATCCACCTTGCTTCGGGTCAGCTTGAAGATCTGTGGGCAGGCAGAGGGTCTATGGCACCTGCCAGCCAGGGATAATCAGCCTGCCCACCTAGATCTTTGGCAAACTTGGCTCACCTAGTGTTGGCCACCTGGCTAGGTCAGCATGGCAGAGTAGTGCAGAATTGGTGGCAGGGAGCAGGGAGGAAAGATCACTGTTTATTGAGCAATTACTACATGCTTGGCTCTTTCTTTTTTCTTTCTTTCTTTCTTTCTTTTTTTTTTTTTTTGATGAAGTCTCGCTCTGTCACCTAGGCTGGAGTGCAGTGGCATGATCTCGGCTCACTGCAAGCTCCGCCTTGCGGGTTCACACCATTCTCCTGCCTCAGCCTCCCGAGTAGCTGGGACTACAGGCGCCCGCCACCACACCTGGCTAATTTTTTGTATTTTTAGTAGAGACGGGGTTTTACCGTGTTAGCCAGGATGGTCTTGATCTCCTGACCTCGTGATCCACCTGTCTCGGCCTCCCACAACGCTGGGATTACAGGCACGAGCCACTACGCCCGGCCGCTTGGGTCTTTCATAACCATTATCTCTAACCTTCAGCATCTCAGTGAAGAAGAGAAAGTTCTCTCCATTTTGCAGATTGAAAATGGAGGTTTACATTATTTCCCCAGAGTAATACAGTGATTGAAGCAGTGGAGACAGGTTTGGAATCCAAGCCTGCCTGAGGCCTCAGCCGCTCACTGCATCCTCCTCTGCCAGCCAAGATCCACCAGGGCAAGGAGAGGACCTCTTTGAAGGAGGTTGCCAGGGCAAGAACCAGGGAGAAAGTGGGGAGGTGGAGAAGCAGGAAAAGGATGAGATAAAGGAATGAAGGAAAGGGGATGGGGCTGGCAGTATGAATACTGTCCATGGGAGCCTCTCCCCCTCACCTTCCTGCTGGCTTGTCCTGCTCCTCTCTCTCCCTTGAGACCTCTGAGTGTCTGACCTCTCTCTCCCTACCCTTCAGTTCACTCCTCTTTATGCTCCTCTTACCCAGCTGAGTCTTTTGTGTCTCTTCTCTTTTCATTGCATCTCTCTGGCAAAGCCCTACCCTGGATCAGCCCCACTCTCTATTTTCTGCATGCCTGTGCGCAAGCAACTGACAAAATAGAAAACATCAGCTGACGGGACTGGTTGCTATCACTGGAACCACCAATAGGCTTGTAACGCTGCATGCCAATCTAACTATATTTCTCTGGCCAAAATACCTGCCTATAATCTACAACAACTATTTCAGCTTTTTGCAGCCTCCTCATAATTCAGGGGCCTCCTTGCTGAGCTCCCTCTTTCAGCAGGTGAACTCTCCTCTTGCCTGCCCAGCCATTGAATGGGAACCTGTCATTTTCCTGATACCAAGCACTGACTTATTGGTCTATGAACCCGTGCCTCTCTTCTACATTCATCCCCTTTCTTGTAACTGGATGGAACCTTACACTGGTTTTAAACATGTGTGAGTTATTCTGAAGGAACCCAAAGCTCTCATCTGTTATGGCTGTACCTTTCCCCCTTCACAGCCAAGTTCTTGAAAGAGCTGATCACAGCCACCCATTCCTCACTTCCCACTCTCCCCAGACACCACTGCTATCTGGCCTCTGTTCCTGCCACTCCACTGAAATAGCTCCCCCTCGGTGACCTCCACGTTCACTAAATCCAGTCCTCAGCTCTATTCCACCCCGTTGCTCACTCCCTCTACTTGAAACATACCCCTCCCTTGCTCTGTGACACAATGCCATGTCCCCCATTTCCTCCTCCCTCTGGCTTCCTGGCAAGCTCTTCTTCCACTAAGACCACATGCCAGGCCTCTCCTTGTCTTGCTTTTGGCTCTCCCCTGTGAGACTCCATCCAAATCCAGGGCTGCAACTGCCACCTTCATGAAGACGGCATACATTTCCACATTCAACTCAGACCTCTCATCTGAGCTTCGGACCCTCTACCCGACTAACAAAATGACCCCTTCTTTGAGATGCCTCTAACTGAAACTTACACTCTTCCCCCTCAAAACCGATCCTCTTCCCACATTCCCTGTCTCTGCAAATGGCCCCTCCAGCCATCCAGCCTCACAAGCCAGACGTCTTGCACCTCACCTCCTTCTCCTTCCTTCCTTCTTCAGATCCTCCCTATGCCAGTGTGGCCCGTGCATGCCAGACACATGTCTGCCTAAATATGTCTTGACTCTCTCCACTCCTCTGAGACTCCACAGACACTACCCTTGCTGAAATGACCCTCACCCTCACCTGGATTTGGCAATGATCTCCTAGGTAATCTGCACGTCCACTGCTGCCCTGCCCAGGCCATCATCCCTCACAGACGGAGTGACCTTTTCACGTGTGAAATCCAGTAATGGTACCTACCTTTTTGCCTAAAACACTTGGATGGTGTCCCAGAGCTCCTAAGGATAAAGACAGCCTCCTGGACAAGGCCTCCTTTACCCAGCAAGGCTGACCACCTCATACTCTGTGCCAGCCACACAGTCTTCTCTTTCTCTTTGAGCTGGCCATGTTCACTCTGCCCATAGAGCCTGTATGCACTGCTTCCTCTGCCTGGAATGTTCCTCCCTCTGAGACTATAACTCCTACTCCTCCTTCTAATCTCTATGTAAGTGACATTTGTTCAGGGAAGCCTTCCCCTGCAAGGTCAAATGCTCCTTTATAATCTCTCATAAGAGTATCTCTTCTTTATGGCATTCATCCCAATTCAGGGGTACCAGAAAAAAGTACAGGATGCCCAGTTAAATATAAATTTCAGATAAATAAGAATGCCTCATGGAATATTCAGGACATATACTAAAAATTATTTGCTCTTTATCTGAAATTCAATTTTTTTGGAGACAGTCTCATTTTGTAATCCAGGCTGGAGTGCAGTGGTGTGATTGCAGGTCACTGCAGGCTTGAACTCCTAGGCTCAAGGCATTCTCCTACCTCAGCCTCCTCAGTCGCTGGAAGACTACAGGTGTGAGCCACCGTGCCTGGACCTGAAATTCACATTTAACTGGATGTCCTGTATTTCCATTTGCTAAATCTGGCAACCCTATTCTAGTATCAATTTTATGTTTATATGATTGATGATTAGTGCCTTTATCCCATCAAAAGAGTTAGCTACAGAGGGCACAAATGGCACAATCTTGCTCATCCTTGAATCTTCAGCACCTAGGACAGGGCCTGGAGTGCATATGTTTGTTCAATGAAACAAACTGGTGAACTGGAAGAGCAGCACCTTGTTCATCTCTACACCCCCAGAACTGTGTATCTTGGTGCAGGGTGCATTAAAAACACTTGACCAATGAAAGAGAAGGAAATGGGAAGAAGGTAACAATAGAGGAGGAAGAGGAGGGGAGAAGGAATCTGAGAGATGCGGAGGAGGGGTGGGGGGAAGGCTGGGAGCAGACAGTACCTTGAGGGTGTGGCACGCCTTGATGGCGGCTGCCAAGGAGTGGCAGTCGCGGTAGGTGAAGAGGAAGAGATTCCACTCGAAATTCATGCCGCAGTCCTTGACATCGTACACCAGGTCCAGCTCCTCCAGGTGGCTCAGGCCAGCTACCAGATCGCCCAGTTGATAGTGGTCAACGGTGGGCTCCTCCATCTCTCCCTCGCTGCCTGAGTCCGACTGGTCGCCTGGCCGGAGCTGGGCCGGGAGCTGCACCGGCGGAAGGAACTGATCGACGTGGACCCTGCGCACATAATTCCTGCAGAGAGGCAGCAGGTCGAGGATCACCGCGGGGTCCGTGGTGCCTGGGATAAAGTGCTTTAGCAGGTTCTCCAGGTGCCGCTCGAAGAACATGCGTTTCCAGCTGCCGCCATGGTGGGCCACGTGGCACACGGGCCAGCGCTGCATGCAGCAGCGGAGCCAGTAGTTCTCATTGTCTATCAGGTTGGCGGTCACAGCCAGTGGTAGGTCAGGGGACAGGTGGTTCAGGACCTTCTGCTGGTGTTCCGGGAGCATCTGCTTCAGGATAGGGTTATCTTTGGGAACAGAGGAAGGAAAGCATGGGGTCACAGTGTTGGGGGACACCTCAACATGATGCCTCAGGCTGGGCCTGCCTGGGAGCACCAGGCAAAGGGAAGACCCTTCCCTGCTTAGGGGATAGACAGCCTCTCCTCTCAGGGGGGATCAGGGGGAGGGTGGGACACCAGCCTTTAGCTTTGGGATGTTCCCTGCCTGAAGGGGGACATCTCAGCATCTGTTCTCAGGGAGCTCTCAGACTGAGGAAGGCTCTCAGGTCCAACTCTCAATTATCACCTGGTCTGATGGGGAATACAATTCCTGAGGTCAGAGGCTTCCAATCTTATTTGATTCATCCATTTCAAAATAAGAAATTTTTTGAGCACCTACTATGTGCCAGAAACTGGAGGTACCACTATGAGAGACTACTATGTCCCACGTGCTGGAGATATAAGAGTAAGCAAAACAGGGTTCTTCCCTTTTGGAGTTTACATTCCAGTGAGGGGAGGCTGACAATAAACAAGTAAAATGAGTGAGACTGGGTGACAATAGTTGCTGGAGATGAAATAATGGCCCTGTCCTCAGACAGCGCTCCATCTGGTAGGAGAGGCTGGCAACCCATCTTTGGAAAGGATCCATATTACAGAGCACAAAATACGGAACAAACCAAGAGACCTTACATGGCATGGAAGACTCCATCAGAGTGGAGGGTGGTTCACTTGGGAAGGCTTTCTGGAGAAGGAAGTAGATATGGCTCAGGCTGAGTTTTGTTGGAGAGGGTGGAAAAGGCAAGGAGAGGGCAGAGGCATGGAGGGTGCAGTGTGGGTGGGAGCCTGGTGGGATCTGCCAGTGGGAACAGAAGGAGAAACTGCCTAGGCCCTGGGTGGAAGGGAAGTGTTGAGTAGGTATGAGGATGCCATACGGGAGAGCAGGGGCTGCCCCAGGACCCAGGTTCTGCAGTCTTGGCTCCAGAGAGTCCCCACCCACCTTGCCCCACTCTTGGCCTTCTTCTTCCCACCCAAAGCAGGGACAGACTCACTCTGGAAGTTCCTGATGATATGCTGAATGCAGAGCTCTGTGAGGAGGGGCACGATGGCCAGTGACCACTCAGGATCCTCAGCAATGATCCGGCGCATCCGATGGAAATTGGACCCAGGATGTGGGTTCCTGGACTTTGCAGAGACTGGTGTGATTGAAGGCTTTGAGGGCTGTGGGCCTGTGCTTGAAGTGTGTCCGCCAGTGGAGGACTTGTCCTGGGTGGAGACTGAGGAGTGGCTGGGGTCCAACAATGCTGATGTTGTTACGGTATCCTGCATGCTGGAGGCTGGTAATGTAGGGGCGGGTGGCCCCTGGATGGCCTTATGACAAGAAACTTCTCAGACTGGCAGGTCCTTGATACAGGTAGGGATCTGGAGCAAAAGGAAGAGGTAGTGGTGTTACTTTGGAGGGTCTTGGTGGGCATTTACTAAGAGAGGTGGTACAGAATAGTGCTTAAGGATCAGTCCCTGGAGTGAAGCAGATCCAGGTACACATCCACTGGTTATCTGTGTGACCTCGGGCAAGTTACTGAACCTCTCTGAATTTCAGATGCTGCCTCTTAGAAATGAAGGTCGCAGTTCCAGTAGGATTATTTGGAGGAGTGGATAAAATAATGCATCCAAAGGGCATAATATATTATCTGACACATGAAACTAGCAAGGAGCAGCCCAAAATTTTAGATAATAGCTCTATAGCAATTACAGTAATTGCTCTGTGCCAGACAATCTTTTTAGTTCTTTATGCCTATTAATTCATGTGTCCTCAGAAAAACCTTTTTCAGAAAAGCCTTTTTCAGATAGGCACTTGTATTATTCCCATTTTTCTGCTGGGAAACTAAAGCACAGAGAGGCGAATTGACTTGCCCAATGTCATGCAGCTTAGAAATATTACGGGTGGGTTTAAATTCAGTCTGTCAAATTCATGCTCTGAACCCTACATTGGACTGGCCCTCTGAGGGTGAGGGGTGTATATTGCCAAAAGACAGGTATAATAAAGAGCCATTCAACTCAAAACAGGACCCTGCACTAAGTATTTTATAGAACAGCAACTGCCTGATCCGTAGGATGGGGTTGAGAACAGCTCTGGCCAACAGAAATATAATGCAAGCCAAAATGCAAGCCACATATGCTATTTTAATTTCTTTAGTGCCCACATTTTTAAAAAGTAAGGAGAAACAAGGCTGGGCGTGGTGGCTCATGCCTGTAATCCCAGCACTTTGGGAGGCCAAGGTGGGTGGGTCACTTGAGGTCAGGAATTCGAGACCGGCCTGGCCAACATGGTGAAATCCCATCTCTACTAAAAATACACAAATTAGCCGGGCATGGTGGTAGGCGCCTGTAGTCCCAGCTACTCGGAAGGCTGAGGCATGAGAATCACTTAAACCTGGAGGGCAGAGGTTGCAGTGAGCCAAGATTGCGCTACTGCACTCCAGCCTGGGTGATAGAGCAAAACTCTGTCTCAAAAAAAAAAAAAAAAAAAAAAAAGTAAAGAGAAACAGGTGACATTAGTAGTTTTTTTTTTTTTTTCCTGTCTTGCTCTTGTTGCCCAGGCTGGAATGCAATGGTGCGATTTTGGCTCACTGCAACCTCCACCTCTTGGGTTCAAGTGATTCTCCTGCCTCAGCCTCCCAGGTAGCTGGGATTACAGGTGCCCGCCACCACACCCAGCTAATTTTTGTATTTTTTTTTTTTTTTTTGAGATGGAGTCTCGCTCTGTTGCCCAGGCTGGAGTGCAGTGGCCGGATCTCAGCTCACTGCAAGCTCCGCCTCCCGGGTCCACGCCATTCTCCCACCTCACCCTCCTGAGTAGCTGGGACTACAGGCGCCCGCCACCTCGCCCGGCTAGTTTTTTGTATTTTTTAGTAGAGACGGGGTTTCACCATGTTCGCCAGGATGGTCTCGATCTCCTGACCTCGTGATCTGCCCGTCTCGGCCTCCCAAAGTGCTGGGATTACAGGCTTGAGCCACCGCGCCCGGCCCAATTTTTGTATTTTTAGTAGAGATTGGGTTTCACCATGTTGGCCAGGCTGGTCTCGAACTCCTGACCTCAAGTGATCCACCCGCCTCAGCCTCCCAAAGTACTGGGATTACAGGCGTGAGCCACAGTGCCTGACCATGAAATTAATTTTATATTTAGCCCAGTATGTCTAAAATGTTATTTATCATATAATCAATATAAAATTATTAATGAGATATTTTATATACTATGTTTTCATATGAAGTCTTCAAAATCTGATGGCTCAATGGGCACATTAAGCCTGTGGCTACCGTTTTGGAAAGTGCAGGTTGAGAGAGAAAGGAGAGGGGAAAGAGACCCATGCTCTGCCCAGGGTGCCCGCAGCCTCCTCTCCTCCTTCCCACTGAGAGCTCAAGCTCCAGGTCCCTTCCCTTCCATCTCCCCATCCAGTCTGCCTCTAGCTCTCCCAGCCTCCCAGCATTCCAGACAGCAGCGGGCAGGCGTGGGAGGCGAGAAGGTAGCTAAATCTGGGGCTGAAGACAGAAGACAGAGGATGTGTCTTGGTCCGGGGACCCTCCCCCATTTGCCCATTCCTGTACCCTTGCACTCCTGCCCTGAGATCTGCAGGAGGAAATGGGGCTGCTGGCACTTAGCTCCTCCTCCAGGCAGTTTCCCATCAGATGTGCACCCTGACGACTCAGTGCACTGGGTAGTGGCCGGTGGGAGGGAACACTCTGAACCAGCAAAGGCGTCCTTGGCAGAGGGAGGGACCAGATGGTGCTCCCCAGCCTGCCAGGCATCTCAAGGAGGAAAAGCCTGGTTGAGAGGCAGGTGGCGGGGAGAGGGATAGTGCAGGAAAGATATCTAGGTATTGTGACATCCCTTATGCAAATCAAATGCAAATTCACACACAGATTGTGTCCAGAATTGTGGAATAACCAGATCGTGCTTTTTGACTAATGGCCTCTCAGAGTGTAGGGCTGGAGGGGGTTGTTGCTTAGCGGTACCTGCTGACTTTGCATTTCTGACTTTGCCAGTTATGTGCTTTGTGACCTTGGCCAAGTTACTTAACCTATCTGAGCTTCAGTTTCTTATCTGTGAAACTGGATAATAATATCTTCCTACATGGGCTGTAGTGGAGATCCCCCTGAGATAACGGTCGGTTAATATTGATCATTGTAAAGAATATAGGAGGGGTGTGTGGAGAATGAAGGTACTATGAGGGGCAGGGGTCTGAGGCTGGAGAGAACACATCCTGGAGACCCGCTTCTTGAATGCTGACCTGAGATGGTATCTTTGGATGAGTGCAGTGTTTCTGAGGTCCTTCCCTATTTCCAGGATCGATGTGAAGGGCAAGGAGGCAGGGTGGTGTTGAGGGCTCATAGACAGCACGACAGAGACAATGGAGGAAGGTCAGAGGCAACAGACTAGACCAACTCCTGCTTGGTTTTGGCCTAAAACATTCTATAATTTCCCTTGGTCCCAGATATGTCCCTGGACACCCATGGGCCACACCCAGGGAGCAGGACCAGGCTTGGCAGGGGGAGCCCCAGGTTGCTGGTATGCATTGCCCTGGAGTTGGCTCTTTAGTCATTCCTCACAGCACCATCCAGCCCCAGCATCCTGGCTCAGTCCCTTCTCCTTCTTCTCCTGGGGAGCCACACCTGGGAAACCCCACCCGGGGCCAGGCGGGATGCCTCTGCAATGAGGTCACTCTAGTCCCACCGCCTAGCACCTCACTTTCAGGACCTGGAGTTCTTCCTGCCATCTGGTCCTAATTGCTCTTGCTGCTGTTTCGTGCCTGCAGCCCGCCTCTGGGCATGACACAGCAGGACCCATCGGGGCATGTTCCAGGGCCCTGAATCAACTTCTCAGAAGGAAGGGGCAGGGCCTCGCTCCAAATCACATGGCTGCCGTGTGCATGGCTGGTATAAAAATGAGCCCCTGCCACCTTCAGCGTTTACAGGATCATCCATACCACAAGGCAGGCAAATGCTGAAAAAATTAACTGCGTAAGATCAGAGTGGATAATTTTCATTTAATCATCTCTTGATTTTTAAAAAATGGATATCGCAAAAATATTTTGGCAGGCAAATTATTACCAGACACAGAAGATTCTTCTAAGGAGTGTTCTAAAAAACACTTAGTTCTAAGTGTTTTTTAAAAATCTACTTTTAAAACTAACAAAATAGAAAACACAGTGTATTTAAAAGGATAACGAGCAAAACGAACTCCTTGCTGCCCCGCTATCACTGTTATGAGGAGGATATGCAGTGTGGCTCCTCCCTCGGCAGGCCACGTTCTGACCCCTGCCCTTGGGGGCCACCCTTTGGTGTGCTACTCTCTTGGCTCTCCTCCTACTTTCCGACCATTCTTTTTCCAAAAGTCTTCACCACAGACTTCTCTCCCTCTGCCCATCCCCCACGTGCCAAGGTCCCTCAGAATTCTGCCCTGGTCGTCCACTCATTCCTGCTGATGGACTCTAGCTTTCACCTCTTCCAGGTGGGGTTTCCTAACTGTGACGTCCCAGAGAAGCAGAGGGTACTGTTTAGCAGGATGGTGAGGCTGCGGGGTGGTGGTGTGAGTAATGCCAGACTCTCCTACATCTGCATTCCAGACTCAAGTCCACTGGGATGCTGCCTAGGTCCCTCAAACTCAATCCATCCAGATGCCGGCACCAGAAGCCAGGGAGTCACCTCTCTTTCAGCCCTCCCACCCCACCCCACCATCTAGTTACTGATTCAGTTCTGCCTCCCACCCAGGCAGCCTCTCCTTTCCTGCTGCCGCCTTAGCTCAGGGCCTCAGTGTCTGTCTGGATCACAGCATCAGCTGTTGGGCATGTAGTCTCTGGCATCCAGTCTGGTTCTCTCACATCCAGCCTTAACACAGCCGCTGTGGCAGGCTCCTTGTAAGCCCTCTAGAGGCTCATCACTGCTTACAGTAAAATCCAGCCTCCTCACCTTGGTGTGTGAGGCCCTCCGTGGCTGGACACCTTGTTGGAAATAAGCTCCTCTTTGCATCTGGGACATTGCAGCCCAGTTCATGCTGCCAAGCCCTTGCTCAAATTGTTCCCTCTGAAATGCTTTTCCCACCATCTCAGCCAGAGAAAGGGACAATCACTGGTCTTCTGAGTCTGAGCTCAAGCACCACTTCCTCTCTGAAGGCGAGGTGCTTCTTTATCCCTGATGTCACAAAACAACCCCTCCCATTGTCAGACCCCATCTTTCCAGTACCTGCATCACTCCAGTGACCTGACTGCCCACCCTCTCACCACACCCACACTAGACTGTGAGCTGCTCGAGGTGTAGGGGCTGTCTCCTCCTCAGTTTTGTTTCCAATTCCTAGCCCAGTGGTAGGTCTGCTTTAGGCGAGGTAGCTGGTGTTTGGGGCTGCTCCACTGGCTTCTGATAATAGATTCTGGCCAACAGGGGTATCCTGTTGGTCAGGGCAACTTGTTTGGGGGTGGCTATCTGATATAAGCCAATCAGAGTCCTTCTTGAGATTTGTCCAAGTGGAGGGAGACAGAAGGACATGTGTCCTTGAAGGATCTGGATCTCCTGCTGCTGGAAGTCATTTCTCTCCACACTTACAAGGTCTGTTTGTGGCAGGAGGGAATCAAGCCTGGGGGAGAGTAGCAGAAACGAAAGATAGACCCAGACAGCATCCTGGTATCTTCGATCCCCATGCCTAGTCCCGGAGGCTCCCAGAGCTGTCTGGCTCCTTGGCAGTGCCTTCAGCTCTGAGAGCTAAGTTGGCAGCCTTCTAATAGGTCCCTTTGCCAAAGCTAAGAGTTGGGTTTCTACTCCTTTTGACCAAAAGGTCCTGCCCCATTTTGACCAAAAGGCTCACTGTTTGGTGAGTGAAATTATGGGAAAGATCCTAAATCAGTAGATGAAAGAGTTCAAAGGCCCCCAGGTTATTACTCACAGGACCTGATTCACTCCTGTGGCCTCTTCCTCTCCTGACTACATTGAGCCTCTAGTCTCACATTCCATGTCTCCAGGGCTGGGACAGTATCAGCACCTTACAACTGTCCAGCACTTAAGAGTTGCAAGGTCCTTTCAAGGTCCTTTCAGAACTATCCTCTCAGGAAAAAAAAAAAAAAAAAAAAAAAGGCTGGGTGTGGTGGCTCACACCTGTAATCCTAGCACTTTGGGAGGCCAAGGCAGGAGGATTGCTTGGGGCCAAGAATTCAAGAGCAACCTGGCCAACATAGCGAGATGCCATCTCTAAAAAAGAAAAAAAATCTCATGTGACTCTTCAACCACCCTATAATGGAGCTGGGATGGGCTTCCTTATCCCTATTTTACAGATGAAGAAACAAGGAAACAGGAAATGACTGGCCCTAAAACACCTATGAGAGCCGGGGCCAGCATCTGAGGGCAGGTCTCCTCCTCTAGTCACAATACACTACCCCTCCACAGTCACTCAGTACGTCCCCTTCCCCTGGCTGTTCCTGCCCTCCACTAGGAAAGAAGAAAGAATATTCTTGCTCCTTGGAAAGTGGGGAGGGCCTCCCTGGGCTGAGAGCGCTCCCAGGCCTTTGGTACTTTACTATGGGAATTTCAGGGCCCTAATGTACAGTTTTCATCCCTGTTAGGGTAAATGCATTTTCCCCCTAAATGAAACAAAATTTAATATTTTCATCAGGGCAGTCCTGGAGGTGGCTGAAGGGTCACCTTCCTCTCTGGAGCTTTCCTTCCCTGGGGAACCTGTTGGGTCAGTCAGAGAATCCCAGAGTTTGAAGACTAGGAGCACGTTCAAGACGCCAGTCTTGAACATGGGCAGGGCAGGAATCCTGACATTCCAGAGAGGTCAGGGCCACCAGGAGTGGGTATGTCTTGTGCCACCACCTGGTGTCCCCATCCAAGGATGTGCTGTGCTCTCAGAGGGGGAAAGTGGGGACACATGCAGTGGACTTTCACTTCTCTGGGGCCTGCCTTTACCAGCTTGTTTGGCTTCACATGGCTGTGTCTCTAACCCGGTACCACAGTCCCTAGGGAAGGGACAATCCTCCTCCCCTGGGCCCCTACTGTGCATCCTCAGGACCAGGGTCCAGGGTCCTGAAATCACACACAGGGAACAACATCCATACCAGGCCATTAACTCAAAGGACCGGGTGTGAAGGACTGCTCTTTCCATGCCCAAGCACGTGTAATAGAAAGTGACAAGATGCTCCAGTTTGGCCAGAGTTGTCCTCATTTCTGATGGCTTGAATCTGGTGGACAGGTGTTCTGGGAACCATACCCTTGGCTATATATAGCTATGATTTATTGAGAGCTCTAGGCCTTCAATAGCATGTACATAGCAGGAGGCAGGACAGCAGCTGGCTAAGTACTCAGGAGTTGAGCTGCTGCCTCAAGTCAAATCTCCACAGTGCCCCCCACTATCTGTGCAACCTTGGGCAGGTCCCCACTTGCCTCAGTTTCTTCATCTATAATGTGAGGACAGTACTTAATAGTACCTATTTCATAGGATTACCCAGAAGATTAAGGTGTTAATGTGTGTGAGACATTTCATATAGTGCTGGGCCCAGGGCCAGCACTCAAGATGTGTGTTAGATATAGTGAAGATGCTAGATGGCTTACTTACATAATTTCATTAAATTCTCAAATTAATTATTGAGGATTATTATTTAACACTATTGTCCCTGTTTCACAAATGAAGAAACTGAAACTTAGAAAGCTTAAGTAACTTACTAAATGTCACTAGCTAGTATGTGGAGAAGCTGAGGTTTTAGTTTGTGTCTGTCTAATGCTCTTACTTCCATGAGATGCTGGGGTTGCTTATAAATTGCTCCCAACTCAGTCATTCACAGCACTTTTCCAGTGAGTCTCCCACTTTCTCCAGCTCATGAGCTCTCTTGTTCACCAACACGGAGCCCAGGGGTTATCCCCTTGGTGCTGACCTAAATAGTCCAGGCTCCCTCTTTCAGTTCACTGCTGGGCACAGGAGCCTTCTGCAAGGCTGGACCACTGCCTGCATCCTTTGGAGGGCCGGAGGAGCCCAACGGAGTGCTGCAGAGTAGTGCTCTCCTGCCCCTGGCACATTCCCTCCACAGGAAGTCTCCGGTCTTCTCCATCCTTCCTCAGGTCCCCAGCTAAATCTAACCATTCTGGGCAGGAGCTCCTTCCACCTGCCCTAATGGGAACACGAGGAAGATGCTGTAGGGGAGCATTCTCACCTTCTTGTGCATCACAGTCCTGGTCCTCAACTGTCCTTACCTCCCTTCCTCTTAGCCGAGAAGTGGAGACACCCAGTTCTCTTTGGGCAGACAGCACCTCTGTGCCTGGGACACTTCCCCAGGAGCTGGCTCTGCACCCACTGCTCTGACTGCCTTCTTAGCCACTCCCATCCCAGATCCCCTCAGGAGAGCCCTCCTCTGTCCTCAGGACTCTCGGCTTTTGTCTACACCCACCTCCATTTCTTTCATGCCCACCATGTCTTACTTTGGGGTAAGTCACTCCCAAGTTGGGAATTCCATTTATGGAAGGGCAAAAAACTTTCTCCAACCGGGCCTCGGCCCACGTACTTGGACTTGGGCTGGGTGAAACCGCCAGTTCACTTACCACAGCCCCCGGGCTGGCCTCCTCCCAACTCCTGACCACTCAGGTCTGTTGTCTCAAAAGGGACTCCAGCGGTTCTGCTCCCACCCCTCCTTACCTTCAGCTCAGACACCCTAGCAGGGAAGCTCAGCTGCAAAGGCCACGGGGTCCCTCCCCCATCCTACCTGGGGTGTAGAGGCGCTGGTTTCTCCTTGGTAACCCAGGAAAACCGGCAGTGCAGTGGGAGGGAGGGAGATGCGGAAGCAAGCTTCTGGACACGCGGGAGGGATTACAGCCCTCGGGTGCTGGGAACAGGGACGGCCTTTCGCAGAAGGCTGGGGCCCCAGGGCTTGGGACCGCTCTCCTCCACGCCCTACGGATGCCCCATTTTCCCCCTCTTCTTCCCATAGTTCCTCCGCTCGCCTCACTCGGATACCCAGCCCCGGGCCAGACGGTCTGCAGACAGTGACTGTGGTGGGGAGGAGGCGCGGGGCGTCCTCGCATGGAGGGCGTGGGGTCTCCTGTGGGTACGGACCGGCGCTTCCCCGCCACAGAAAACGGAACCCAGGCAATGGCCGCCTGTGGGCTTCTGGCCGGTGTGGGCAGAGGACGCTAGAGGGGCTCCCGGGCCCAGCTGACCTGAGCGGGCCCCGATAAGGGAGACCGGGGCTGTGTGTCCCCACTCCCCGAGGTCGCCTCACCCGCTTCGGGAGCCTCGGCGCTCGCCTCACACAGAGTCCCGCGCGCCGGCGCCGGCGCCGGTCATTGTCGTTGGGGACGCCCCGTGTTGCTAGGAGCGGGCCGGGCGGGGAGGACGAGTGCGCCGCGGTTCATAGGAGGGGGCGCTGCTGCTTCCCGGCAAGCGGCTCACTCGCGCGCAGGGTGGCGAGGCCAGCCCTTCGGACGGTTCCGTGGAAGCGGCCGCTTTGGGGGTAGTGGGACCGTGGCCTTGAGCTATGCCCTGTGCTTCCGTGGGACGTGTCTAGGAACGGGTGGGCTTTCTGCGGGAGGCGGAGGTCGGGCAGGCTGCTGGTCTGGAATCCTTGTGCTCTCTTGCTAGCTTTTGTGTGGCCATGGATAGGGAGCTGGTCCACGAAAAGCGTCTGTGGAAGATGAGGAGGGTGGGCGGACCTTCTCCAGGGCACCTGTATGTCACTGAACTCCCCTGAGGTCTCCTGTTGACCTTATGCCCTGCGGGAGGGCACCGTCCACCTTTTCCCCGGCTGAAAGTCTGGCACCAGACGCAGGAAGGTTCCAGGCCAACACAGTGCTCTTTCACACAGCCCATGCCCTGTGCCACACACCCTTCCAGCCCTGGCGCCACAAGATGTGGTTGGGGCCCCTGATCTCCTGGAGGGTGAGAGGGACAGGCTTCAGAGGGACGGCTAGTAAAAAAAGAAACTGGCCTTCAGGAAGGGAGAGGCAGCCAGGGTGGTGGAGGTTTCAAAGGGTAGCTTTGATTTCAGCTCTGCCGAGGACTACTAGTTGGTTACCCTGGATGTACATCTCGAAGCTCTGTTAACTCATCAATAAATCGGGGTGCCACAACTCATCTTGGCGCCCGCAGAGGAACTTGGACCAGGGCCTGTGGTGAGCACTGCTGAACAGTGGCTACTGCTCCAGTGGCCAGGATGCTGAGGCAAAGCTTTGCAAGCAGCGAGGGGCCAGGCACCAGGGATTGGGTCCGTTCAAGCCCTCACCAGTGCCTCACCAGCAAATCATCTATGCCTTAATTAGAATGAGAAACTGCAGAAAATGATGTCAGGCAGGCCCACGCTGCTAGAATTTTTACTAGACAGAACTTGGTACCCAGGGAGCCCTTGATTTGAACATGGGTCCCCTGGGGCCCTTTCCTTCATCTAGCAACAGAGATCTAGGAACAGAGGCAGAGGTCCAACATCTGGCTGTCTGAGGTGGACTCATTCTAGTAGGGAAGGAGGGCTTTTCTCCATCTCTTGGCTTCCACCTGCTTTGAGGTGTCAATTTTCAGCTTCAGCTCAGGCTTGAGGCAGGTGCTGTACAACTTGTTTTAAGAAGTGTAGTTTGTCTGACCCCGCTCTCCAACCTCATCACCTGCCCCTATCCCAGCTCACTGCTCAGTGGCACTGGCCACCTCACAGCATCTGCATTGGCTGTTCCCTCAGCCTGGAATGCTTTTCCCTCAGATTTCCACATGGGTCACACCTTCACCTCCCAGCTGCCTGCTCACATGCCACCTCTTGGTGAGGGAATACCACCATCCACACTCCTAATCCCCATTATCTATTTTTCCCCCCAGACCTCATCACCATCTGACACTTTCTCCCTTCTAAGACAGGGCCTCACTCTGTTGCCTGGAGTGCAGTGGTGCAATTATAGCTCACTGTGGCCTTGAATTCT